TTCTTATGGTACTCTGTTTTGCAGAGCACGTCATGTAAAGATGGACTGAAAAGAAGTACAGTAAGATTCCAAAAAATCTGTATTTCATTCTCCGCAAACCATCTGCGTCCTCTGGCGTTGAGGACGCGACAACCAGCTTTTTTAGTTTTTGCTCATTTCGTTTTAAATTAAATGGGATTAAAACATTATTAAATCGTGGCTTCCGTATTTGTTCAACTTTCAATGCTATGCACACTGAATTTGAGTTTTTGCGCAGCATTTTTTCTTTAAATGGGTTTCCATCGCAACTGATTTATACTCAAATTAAGAAATTCATGTCAATGCAATATAATGAAGTTGTTCCCGATTGTGACAGTAGGAACCTGATTTATTGTTCTTTTCCCTACTTCGGTAAAGAATCTGAGACTATGGCTAGGGAATTGAAAGATTTGATCAATAAATATCTTCCGAATGTAAATCTGCAGGTGCTATTGGTGAATAACTTCAAAATCGGTTCGTTCTTCAAGTATAAAGATGCTCTCCCTCTTTTTATGCGTTCGTCCCTAGTATATAGATACAGTTGTGCGCAGTGCGCATCAGCGTACGTCGGTATGACGTCTCGCAATTTTTACACTAGGCTGGCGGAGCATAAGGGCAGAAGCTTTAGAACGGGAACAATACTTGCGCATCCTCCTCATTCTGCTGTGCGCGTCCATGCCGAGCAGTGCAATGTTCCGGTGTCTGATAGTGATTTCAGAGTTCTAGCTTACACGACCGGTGTTACTGACCTACGGATTTTAGAATCCCTGTACATTTTTAAACAGAAACCTGGTTTAAATGCAGCCTTCAGCTCCTGTCCCCTTGAAATTGTAATTAGATAGGCCTGTCTCCTTATGTGTATTTGTTTTTATTTTGTCAATTTATGTTTTTATCTTCGATGTGAATTTAGTTTTCTAATTGATTCTGATTTTCTTATAGGTTTTGAACTTTTGAACTGACGATGGAGCTGGACTCCGAAACGTTTTCATTCTTAAGAAATGGTTAATATTCTGGCTGTTTTCTTTGCTTTTAAATTCCTGGTAAACTTGCGACTTAAGCAATCTAGTAATTTTTAGGCATTTTAGACCCCTGTGCGAGTTTGAAGTAGGTGATTTTATATTGGTGAAGGAGAACGCAGGGAGCGAGAAGTGGGGGCGTGGAAATATTGTTCGTAGCGTAGGGATTGTAAATTATGATGTAAATTTTCAAAACAGGATTGTATCGAAGCACGTTCATCAATTGTTGACCACGGCGAAGGGCGATGAAGCTTCTGCTTCTCAGGGTTCTGAGGACGTTGGTGAAACTCGTGAAGTAAAGCTAGCCTTCCACCACCATGCCCGAATGCTAAAATGTCCGGAGAGTCACAGGCGATTCTGCCTACTGAGCCTTCAGTAGACACTACGGAGGTCGAACGTCGTTACCCGGCCCGAACTCGAAAACATCCCGATAGACTAGCTTATTGAAAATTTCCCGTTTCCTATAGAGTTTCGTTCAAGTAGGGATGCAGCTGTTTTGAGAGAGGTGTAGCATATGAAGATTCCTGTATGATTAAAGGCCATCCACGAAGAAGCACGTTTTAGAAGTAGTGCTTGCTCCATTAGCGTTCGTTCTTTTTCGTGTTCATTATGTTGGTTCCAATAAAGACTGTTCCGTGCTGCTGTGTTCTTCCCACCCTTCACGTGCGTAACCTCGTGCATTACAAAACTTATCATTCACCTGGAACATTTCGTGAGAGTTGTCGGTTTCTACCCTAACTTATGTTCTTTGCCCTAGTTCCCTGTAAAAGAAGGCACCCGCTTCTCCCATCGCGTTCCAGCTTCTTGTCTTCTTCTTGAGCAGGTTCTAGGCTTCTAGCCGCTCTCACGGCGTTATAGTAAACCTTCAGCAGAAGACTGAGATTTCATACAACCCCATAACCGTGATACTACAATGCCGTCGAAGGGAGAACTTGAAACGACTATTTCAGGGTGAAAGAAGCTAAAAGCAGCATTCCGACTAGGTTTCTGCTTTAATATATAAAGTGTTTCTGCAATAATTCGTAGATCAATAAAACTGTGGGGACTAGCACCCGACCACATTGTATTATTAATTGACTCTGTTTCAGGGATTTTCAAGACCATGGTAAAATATTGAAATCAACTAGGGCGGCCTGATCATGAAATTGGTTGGTTAATGAAAACAAATCAACAATTGCTCGAGTTTATTCTTAGCTCACGCGACCTGCCCCGGGACGGTGGCCCCGAGACAAACCAGGAGACCTGGGCACGTGGTGATGACGAGGTGTGAGGAGCACGTGGTGATGACGAGGTGTCAGGAGCACGTGGTGATGACGAGGTGTCAGGAGCACGTGGTGATGACGAGGTGTCAGGAGCACGTGGTGATGAGGTGGTAGGAACACGTGGTGCGGTTTGTAGTTAGAGGCACGTGAGGTAGCACGTGGTGACGTGGCGTTGCACGTGGCGTGGAGAGATGCACGTGGCGTGGTAAGATGCACGTGGCGTGGTGACATGAACGTGAAGTTGCACATTGAGTTGCAAGAGGCACGTGGAGTGCGATGAAATCATTAGCCGTTACTTCCACTTGCTGTATTACATTTTAAGTTCTATGTAGTGATACAATAATGAAAATATCCTCATTATAACAACCATTATTGGCGGAAGACTTTGTCATGTACCTAAGCAGTTCTCTACACTTACTGTATACCAATTTCGGGTAATATCACAGTAACACGATATTTTTTACTTTGCAGTGATCATTGCGGATTAATACATGAATTATAGCAATTTATTAATGAAAGTTTAAAAAATTGCTGTTTTATTACGTTTATGCTAATAATTAGTTAATATGCACGGAAATATTACATAAGTAGTTTTAGATAACGTGTAAATGAGCAAAGCAACAACAATGTGTCATTGTGTAAAAAAAAGAGGCATAAGATTTTTAGTTATTTTATTGTTATGGAAAGCGGTGTTTGCACAGGTTCCTATTTAAATATATTTATTGTTTAAATTCTATGCCGATATTTAATTAACTGACATTTAATATCGATTCGGGAAAATAACGAACACATTACATTTTGCCGATCCTTATAGAAGAAAATAATCAGTGCGAGATAACTAATCGTTCCATTTTTTTATTCTCATTGCACAAATTCTTAAATTTTCATTTAATCAACGGAAAAAAATCTCATTTGCTTCGATTTTATCTGAACCATTTAATTTTCGAAACCATTTATGGATAGTTTCCAGATAACCATGTTTCCCTCTGTATAAAGACCGGTTCTCCCCATGGTTGAAATAATTAATAATTTAATAATTAATAATAATTTGATAATAAATAAATGATAATAATTAATAATTCAACCATGGGTTCTCCCTAAGTAGATAGTTCTAGAACGTAGCGCAAATTTCAACCAAAGCCCTATGGCAACATTGTTGAGGTTCACAGCCCCTGTTCCGCTTGTGCTGCGCTACTCCAAACCAAAAGTTGACCGAGTACTTTATCGGGTGTTGTGTTATAATTGAATAATTCACTGGGTGAGTAGTGATCACAAGTGTTAAAATTTAATAATTGTTTCATGTACATCTTGTAGTAAAAGTGAACAGCTTCCCTGATTAGTGATTACATCGTTGGCGACTGGCGAGAGGCGACTAAGCCTAGTAAATAAAGCTAGCCTACCGTCAATGCCACATAAGTCGCCACTTTCGGAAAACACGCTAGAATATATTAAATTTCGAAGCACCAAGAAGCTAAAAATTAAATGTAACAACTAACACATGTGCAGCATAACAGTGCAGCCTCTGTGCAGGTTTGGCTTATGTTTAGACTTTTAAGAAAAAAAGTCACTACATTTTTTATTGCTCGATCATATAATAAAATGGAAGTTCGCGAGTTTCGCTGGTAGTGCCCCGGAGTGGCGAGGTATATACTAGCTAGTACCTACTTTACAGTCGCCAGCGATATTGACGAAGGGTACAATCACTACTACACTGACTAAAGTCGCCATAGTCAAGACTGGCGAGGTTATTGCACTATAATTCAATTGCAGTCTTTTTGCGAATAGCGCCTACGGCCTACCGGCATAGTGACAAACCAGAGATTTTTTTAGAATCGATTCATTTTTAATTTCCTCATTTACTCAAGACTTAAACCAATTTCTTATGTAAGATAATGCTGGTATCCATGATACTTTACTGGTCTACTTATAGGACTCAAAAATGAACTTGAGGGAGAGTCTAAAAAACTCTCTGCTTTGCCACTATGCTTTACTTGTCTACTTATAGGACTCAAAAATGAACTTGAGGGAGAGTCTAAAAAACTCTCTGCTTTGCCACTATGCGCCTACGTGAGGTACAGTAGAGAAAGCCTCAAATTCAAGCAGAACCAACTCTCCAAGACTCCAACTTTGGTCTTTCTCTAACAAATTAAAGGAAGAAAAATATTAAAATATTGCTCTTGGTCGAAAATAGCCTAAACGAAACCCCAACTTCCCAAGTAATGTATCTTTCTTCTAGCTACCATATTTCAGCAGATTTGCACTAGGATTGAATTTTGGGATCGGTATAACTTGAGCTGTCCTTTTCACTGCATCAATTTTGGAAGGGCTGTTCAGTGTTCATTCCATTCATTTGCTTCTACTTTATTGAAAAATGCACTTCATGGATGAACATTGCATATGAAAAATTAGCCAAGCTGTTACTGTGTAGGTACCTATGGTAGCATGCTAGTCAGCAATTTGAGCAGAATTCACTCTGAGTGCAAATTTCTTTGTATGCAGTGTGAACAATTTCTTTGAATCTAAAAAATGTAGGTAATTCCCAAATCCCAACCCCATCTGTAAATTGGGGGCCAATATTACCGCCAACAGAAAGAGCGCATTGCCGGAGGTAGATCTTGACCACTGAAATGCTTTTGTAGAGTCTGCTGCCAGACACTAATATTAAAAGCAAGTAACTACACCTACAAAACTATGTTGCAGACTTGCAAGAAATACAGAGAAAGACCGTGATGGATTCCGTTGACTTCATCAACTCAACATTGTTCCCTTTCAAGAAGGGCCTTAGGTACAAAGTCCATGTTCTCAGCAATGTCCCTACTCCCTAGGCACTGTATTACAGAGCTCGTGGTATCATACACGACTGTGTCAATTTTGTTAGGTCTTCTTCCCACTGGCACCTGTGAGGTTAGTTTAGGACATGGTGTGTCCTTCTGTAGACAGGCGTGTGTCCTTCTGTAGACAGGTGTGTGTCCTTTTTTAGACAGGCATGTGTCCTTTTTTTGACAGGCATGTGTCCTTCTGTAGGCAGGCATGTGTCCTTCTGTAGGTATGCGTGTGTCCTGTAGACAGGCATCATGCATGTGTCCTTCTGTAGACAAACTGAGGTCTCCCTCTGTAGACAGACTGAGGTCTCCCTCTGTAGACAGACTGAGGTCTCCCTCTGTAGACAGACTGAGGTCTCCCTCTGTAGACAGACTGAGGTCTCCCTCTNGTATATATTACAGGACAATTCTCTGTATATATTACAGGACAATTCTCTGTATATATTACAGGACAATTCTCTGTATATATTACAGGACAATTCTCTGTATATATTACAGGACAATTCTCTGTATATATTACAGGACAATTCTCTGTATATATTACAGGACAATTCTCTGTATATATTACAGGACAATTCTCTGTATATATTACAGGACAATTCTCTGTATATATTACAGGACAATTCTCTGTATATATTACAGGACAATTCTCTGTATATATTACAGGACAATTCTCTGTATATATTACAGGACAATTCTCTGTATATATTACAGGACAATTCTCTGTATATATTACAGGACAATTCTCTGTATATATTACAGGACAATTCTCTGTATATATTACAGGACAATTCTCTGTATATATTACAGGACAATTCTCTGTATATATTACAGGACAATTCTCTGTATATATTACAGGACAATTCTCTGTATGTATTACAGGACAATTCTCTGTATACATGCTGACTCCCTAAGTAGGCAGGCCGACTCTCTCTAAGTTAACAGAATGGCTGACAAACAACAGTGGTTAACAATGTCATTATTTCAGAACACAGATGACAGGCATGAGCTTCTACCAGATATTTTAGACACCATTAATGTAGCATGTGCACAACAAATTTCTAGTTATATTAGGCCCTATTATTTTATATAATGCAATAATGTTGGATTAAATAGAATGACATTTTAATTCAAAACTTAACTATTCAGAAGTTAAGTTTCTCTAAAAAATGTTCTGGATATAACTGGCATTCCATTTTTTAAACTTGTCTGAAATTGGTGCTGTGTTTGATGGGATGCTGTGGACTGTGGCTAACCAGATGTCATAGGCAATTGAACCAAGTGTCATTTCTTCAAACTGTCAATTTGCTACCTTGGACAACTCTCATGTTCCTCTACAATTCTCCAGTGTCCCTAAATGAAAATCATTGCAGTGATATACACTCAATATATATGTTTAAACTAGAAATGCCTCACACCTTGCAAATTGGCAGATGTTTTGCAGCTACCGGTACTTCCCTTTAATATCAGTTTTGGATAGATCTGGTAAAAAGGTCAGTTCTCTGATCCCTAGCAGACAAGCCAAGAACATTACAGGGCCTGGCAACATGCTAAACATTTTTATTCTTTAATGCCAATATTACTATTCAATATTACTATATTTGACTCAAATTTTTACAATCTAGTTTATTTTTAATTCCCTGATCTAGTTTAGATTTCATTCAATATTTATATGATAACGCTAGTTTACATGTTACTTCACTGGTCATTGGATTCACAATGAAAGAGTCTTGCAAAAAAGTTTATTCTCTGCTATTTTATCTGGCCATCTTGTGATCAAGCATAGATTGAGCAAACTCTGCATTCATTTGATCATTAACTTTATTATTTAAAATTCAGTGAGCGTGAGCAGATGGAACATCTCATTACTAAATGGTGGGCACATTTCTTACATGTACAGAACATACATATACCGTATATAAGAATGATGTGAGGGGTAATGGGGAGACCTGCGAATTAAATGAGTGTCTGACAAAACAATGATGAAATGGACAAAATTTGTAAAAATTCCAAAATATGAAAAGCAATGGGGAGAAGAGCAGTTGGTTTAAGATGTTAACATGTCAAATTCACCAAAGTAATTGGACTGCAAGTTGTGAAACTCCATCAAACATTGTTGATCATAGCCATGTCCCAGTGTGAAAGGTGTCCTGTGTGAGGTCATCTCAACACCTTCAGCAGGTCAACAGCAACAATAACCAAAATATTTTGAGGGAATTTACATCGATCCTGTAGATAATAAAATAAGAAGGTTTGGAATGACATAAAAATGTGTTTAAACTATTTTATTTGAATAACAGAAAAAGCTTATTTAATATTTTAAATTGGAAGGTTCAATTGGAACCCAAACCAAATTGCGCCAGTGAGAAGTTGGCAGTTTTGGGAATTGCATTAAATGTGTTAATACAGCAGAGTGGGATTTTTGACTGAAAATAATTGGACAATTTTGGCATTAACTTGCAGTGTCATCAATTACATCATTTGTGTGTAATGGCAAACATAGCTGCAAATGAGAGATTTCCTAGTTACCATTTCAATTTTATTTAATGTAAATTGTTCAAAATTTTATTTGTCACTTCATGTATGATGTTGCTTGTATAATGAACTGGAAAGTCAGACAGGAGAGAAAAATGAATGAGATAAAAATGCTCATGCATATGGCAAGTTTAATCCATTATGATGGGACTTGCTTATTTTCCTTGTTGCAAAAGTAAAGAAGGAAAATGTCTCATTTTTGCTAACAATATTGAGAAATCAAACCCATGAAAATAATTTTACCTGCAATTTTTGTAAAATTATGCAGGTGGTATTCTGCATATGGGTGGTACTGGTAGTCATCATCATGCTGGTCTACTACCTATAGGGCTAAAAAAAAAGTCTCATTTGCCACTATGGACTTTTTTCTTTGTTTATAAAAATGTTAGCCAAAGTCATAATAACTGAAACAATTTTCTTCAGTCGTGGGCATATTTTTCTCATTGAGCTTCTGCCCAATTTTCAAAGTTGTGCTGGGTTGATATTGAATATGTGTAACTACAATGTTGGATACCTTAAAATGGGGTTACTTTGACCGGCGGGGTAACTTTGACCACTTTTCGTTTTTTTTACCAAAAAACCCCCAAAACTAAAAAATGATTTGACATAGAAAAATTTTGTCAAAGGCCTAATATTGAGGCTACGTAACACAATAGAAAAATTTAAAAAGTTTGCATATCTAATAGGTTAAAAAATTAATAATGTAACTCGCAAAAAAGTGCTATTATTTAAAGCCTGTTGGAGTATGTACCCCCTTCAATTTTTTTTTTGGTAAAATAACTCCAGGTTTTGATGCATTGTAGTAGAACTCTTCTAGTTACATATGCAAAAGACAAATTTTAGGAAAGTGTCGTAGTTTGCAAATGGGGGGGCACCGCCTCTCAATGGGGGAATTTTGACC